TAGCAAGCAGCTGTGTTTGAACACTATTGTAGATAGTTCTTAGGGAAGAACAGAATCAAACCAAACCAACAAACAGCCAAAGTTAAGCCCATTATCAGTTGACCAATAAAACAAATAGGTCCTGAGTACTGCCTATTAAATGCAAATTATATTTTTAAACTTAAGTCATAGTTGGCAATTTTTCTTGGCATAACTTAAAAGAATATCAAGGTGATCTGAGTTTCTTACCTTCTGACACTGCAAGACTGACAGTTCTTTAGTAATTCCATTTGTATCAGCAGGCAGCCTTCTTTTTACTGACTACTCAAGTTATCTTATAGATCTTCCTCGTTCTAGGTTGATATTTATTTTAAGGAAATATATTTTATGGCACTATTTTTTTAAAGATTTGTTATGTATAGTGTTCTGTCTGTGTGTATGATTACACACCAGAAGGGGGCGCCAGTTCTCATTACAAGTGGTTGTGAACCACTATATGGTTGGTTGCTGGGGATTGAACTCAGGATCTCTGGAAGAGCAGCCAGTACTCTTAACTGCTGAGCCATCTATCTCTCCAGCCCAGGAAATATATTTTAAAATAAAATGCACAAGTTGTTTTCCTCCCTGAAATGTAAAATACCAGCAACTAAACTTATGTTTTTACAAAAGGTAATGTTCTTCATTAGTTTCAGAAGCAGTTTTCTTTTTAACTAGCATTTTTATTTTGTTTTACTTTTTTATGTGCATTGGTGTTTCACCTGCATGTATGTCTGTGTGAAGATGTAGGATCCCCTAGAACTAGAATTATAGACAGTTGTGAGCTGCCATGTGGGAGCTGGGAATTGAATTCAGGTCCTTTGGAAGAGCAGCCAGTGCTCTTAACCACTGAGCCATCTCTTCAGCACCCCAGATGCAGGTGTTTTTGTTTTGTCTTTTTTTTTTGCAGAAGCAGTTTTTAATCATGCTTATTTTACATATTTTTTGAGAATATTTATAAAGCTCATAAAAATAAGATGTAAGTCGGGTCGTGTTGGCGCATGCCTTTAATCCCAGCACTTGAGAGGCAGAGGCAGGAGGTTCTCTGTGAGTTTGAGGCCTGCTTGGTCTACAGAGCGAGTTCCAGGACAGCCAAAGCTGTACAGAGAAACCCTGTCTTGGGAGAAAACTGTAAAGTGTAACATTGCTCTAGAGCTCTTGAACTGGATATTTGAAGTATCAGACCTCAATGATGCTTCAGAGGACTTTAAAACCATCAGGCAACTCACATTTGTGAAGTCTGTTTCACCAGCACATTCACTCTCTGAGTCTGTTTTGTTGGGAAAGCTGGCACACAATAAATTAAGGCAGATTCCTGAAACAAAAGAAAAACTTAGTTACATGTAGGTAAACCAGTATCTGGTAACTAGTGATTTAACTAGTATACAAAGGACAGCAAAAAGGCAAAGAGATTATAGACTTTAACCTCATGATTAAAGTTAAAGAAGCTATGAACTCACTAACCTTGGCAGAAGTACTGGAAAAACACAGGGTGGTGAGTGTAGACAGACCAGGGAAAGATGAAGACATAACAAATGGGATGCATGAGGATAACAAGCATAAAAATGAAAGGCAACAGGAAAATACGGGTGAGATGTATTAAAACTCAAGCCAGTAGCTATCAGTAGAGTGGTAATGGCTGACGGTGTGCACAGGCATGCAAAATGCACAGAGAAAAAGCTAAGCAGACCGTTTTGAACACAGCCTCAGAATTCGGTTCCTCTCTTCAAAAGGTGACTCAGGTTTTAGGTTTTTCTATGAAATCACACTTCTTGGCAGTAAGCCGCTGACTGAAGATTGGGATGGTTGGAGACACGTGTGCATGCTGCTGGGGGACAGTGAGCAGAGGGGAGCGAGAGAGCGGCTATGGCTGTGGCACTGGACATCAGCAAAGGGGTCCACTGCCTGGACACACACACCCTGGGACACACACACCCTGGGAGACACACCCACACCCTGGGAGACACACACACACCCTGCGACACACCCTGGGACACACACACACACCCTGGGACACACACACACACCCTGTGACACACACCCTGGGACACACACACTCTGGGACACACACACCCTGCGACACACACTCCCTGGGACACACACTCCCTGGGACACACACACCCTGGGACACACACACCCTGCGACACACACTCCCTGGGACACACACTCCCTGGGACACACACTCCCTGGGACACACACACCCTGGGACACACACACCCTGCGACACACACTCCCTGGGACACACACACCCTGGGACACACACACCCTGCGACACACACTCCCTGGGACACACACTCCCTGGGACACACACTCCCTGGGACACACACACCCTGGGACACACACACCCTGGGACACACACACCCTGGGACACGCACCCTGCGACACACACCCTGCGACACACACACCTCCTGATAGCACACACACCTAACTTCCTTCCTCTCCAACAGAAAAAAGGGACACTCCTCTGTTATTGTTTATCCGCCAAATAAAAACCTTAACTTTTGTACTTGGCAAAAAAAAGTGTACATGTGTAACAAACAACAGTCTTTACGAACAAGCTGGGCTTATTAATTTTTGAAGATGAATATGCCATCTTTTCTAGACATGAGACTACTATGCTTTTAAGAAAGCCACCAAAAGCAGCCATAGGAAAGCCAATCTCAGACCTCCCTTAAACTCTGAAGCAAAAGTTGTTTTTCTAGGCTACTCTCAGGAAAATTTCAAAACTCCATTATGGTAGTTTCAAAGAAAATGGTCCCTATAGGTGGCGTTATTAGTAGGTGTGGCCTTGCTAGAGTAGGTGTGGCCTTATTAGAAGAAGTGTGTCAGTGTGGGGGGTGGAGGAGTCTGTCCTATGCTCCAGCTACACCAGTGTGACACAGTTTACCTCCTGTGGCTTGTAGATCACGATGTAGATCTCTCAGCCCTTTATCTAGCAACATGTCTGCCTCCATACTGCCTTGAAGGTCATGGACTAAACCTCTGAGACTGTAAGCCATCCCCAACTAAATGTCTTCCTTTATAAGAGTTGTCATACTCTCAGCGTCTCTTCACAGCAATAGAAACCCTAAGACACTCACCTAAGCAGAGTTCAGTTCTACCTGGTTCTGTGAGCAGGAAGCACACTGTGTGGTGTAACTCCACAGTAGAATGTCTGCTCCCTATGTCAGACTCTTTAAATTCCATTAAATCCTCAGTAACAACAAAAGAATGTCGAGCAGCTTTATGAACTTGCATATCCCATTATTCCTCATATGCTATGACCTGTACCCTAGAACCACTGAAAGATCTCTGAATTTAGAATGAGCTACATTATTTTATTAAAATACAATGTTGACAGCTAGAGAGATGGCTCAGTGCTTAAGAGCACTCACTGGCTGCTCTTCCAGAGAACACAGGATCAATTCTCAGCACTCACACAGCAGCTCACAACCATCTGTAACTTGTTTCATGGGATCCAATGCCTTTTTCTAGTCACCATGGGCATCAGATCTCATTCAAGGTGGATGTGAGTCACCATGTGGTTGCCAGAAATTGAACTCAGGACCTCTGGAAGAACAGTCAGTGCTCTTAACCGCTGAGCCATCTGTCCAGCCCTGTGTGCCAGGTCTTGAATTAAGCTTTTGAAATAAAATTTCTACTTCACTCTGTAAAATTAGGGTTGCATTATCTGTTTCTCATATCATATTTATGGACTAGATCCAGAGGATCTAATTGTCATGGTATCTAAACCCAGAAAATGTAACATTGTTTGGATTTTCGAGACAGGGTTTCTCTGTGTAACAGCCCTGGCTATCCTCAAAACTCAGAGATCAGCCTGCCTCTGCTTCCCGAGTGCTGGGATTACAGATGTGTGCCACCACTGTCTGATTTAATTTTTAAACTTATCTTCTACTAGCCATATAGAGGAAACATTTTTGGTCCTGTGAATTATGCTCATGCTGTTTTATGCCTCTAAGTCTTTGCCCTAACCTGGTTTCTTAAGCTTGAATGTCTTTCTCAACTTCTGTCTGCTTAGCATACTTCTTTTCTTCAAGTACTTGTTAGAGATCAGTGCTCTGTAGCCTTCCTCCTTGTGGCCAGCAATGTCTCCTAGGAAGTTAGACAAAGATTATTGTATTAAGGTGTTGTGTGTGTGATCTGTTTGAGAGACAAAACACTTGAATTTGTTTAATTTTATTAGTCTTTTATTTTGGAGCAAATAGAAAATTCCATTAAGAACATGGCCACCATATTATATATGCTTTCTGAAGGGAACTGCAACTGTAGAGTTAACCTTCTAAATATTATTTGGGTATCTGCCTTATTTATTTAAATATCTGTTGAAGGCTTACAGTATTCCTAAAGTGTGCCAGGCATTTGAGATGGAGTAACGCACCTTGGGAGAAGTGGTGTTTTCTGAGGCTTAAGGAAGAAATACAGTGAATTGGAGTTAGGAAACCCTGAAGTAAGAGCATCTGACTCTCAGTGAAAGGCTCTCATAACTGGTCTAGCAGAGTCCTAGCCTCTCAGTCAGAGCTCACGTCATACTTTTTTTTTTTTTTTAGCTAAATGAAGATCCAGTTAAAGCTTGTTATTTGTTACAGAAGTAATAAAAGCCTGTCTAGGTTGTTGGGGTGCCATTTTTTTTTTCTCCTATACTGACAAATGTTCAACTTTGTAACTTCCAAACTAAAATTCAGAAAACCAAATTATTCATGGTAATCAACAGAGAAAGCACTTGCAATAGATACAAAGAGGAGTGGTTCCCACTACATAGAGCAGATCTGTGCATGATAAGTGGTTCCTGCCATAGTTTTAAAGCTTACTAAAACTCTGTAGTGTGTTGTTTGGTTTATAAGGTTATCCTCAAAAGTGGATCCGTAAGGTAGACAAATGTTTGTGAAAGGTGGTTTTCCTCTTTTATATATTTTATTGTATTATCCTTTCCTTTTAATATAACTTGCCCTTACCCCTTATCCTCCACACCTTTTTTGTTTTTGCAGTATCTCTTGCTCCTCCTCCTCCTTCCATCCTACAGGTAACTCCTCAGTTACCTTTAATGGGATTTGTGGCCAGAGTCCAAGAAAATAGTAAGTTTATGTCTTCTTTATGCTGTAGTTCAGATTATAGGCCTAGAATGTAATTTACACATGACTGACTGAAGAGTCATTCCCTAATGCTTCACGTGTTTGAGTAAGTCGTTGTAAGAATGGCTAGTGGTGACACTAACGCAATAGAGGTGGAGTAAGGAGAATCCCACACTTCTGATTTCTGCAGACATTGATACTCACATGCACATATCCGCAACTACATAGTAAAAAATAATGATAGTAAATTTCTCTGCATTTAAATAGCTTTAAAATGGTAGTTTCTGGAGGTTAGCTTAGAGTACCTGCTTAGCCTACATGAGACCCCAGGTTCGATCTCCAGAACTGTAGCTAAAATACCACTGCTGAGACAGTTTTTAAGGTAAGACAAATAAACACACATAAAATAGTATAAATGTAAGAGAAGAAAAACTGCATGAGGAGATACTCTAATTGCCAAATAATTATCCTGCTTTTTTTCTCAGTTGCCTAGACCAAAGCGGTAGGCTGGTTTGCTACTACTAGAGTCATAGATGTGTGATAGGTGGCCCATGTATATCATTCCCATCCCAAGTATAAAACGGACCACGCCACAGTAGGGCACAGAAGATCAGTCTGCCAGTTTGTCTCCCAAGAAGCAGCCATAGATTGGCAGTGGATTTTCTTTGGTTTAGGGCCTGCTGTTGAGTCATACATAGTCTTAGAACTAATTTTATTGGTATGTCGAGTCTTCTGGGGAAGCATTAAGGAAGCTCTGGAGACTTATATTCCTAAATTGGGAGGCCTGTGCCAACACTTGTGATGAATAGCTGTTACAGAAACACAGTCTCTGTGACAGGTGATTAGGGGCCACATCAGACATAAAGTTGCATGAAATGGAATCTAAACTTAGGGGAGTTGATCCTTGAATAACATGGGTTTGAATTGTTTGATGGTAAAGGACAGACAACTGTTTTGCAAAATTTTAATAATGACAAATCCACGAAATACCCATAAAGTTAAAATTTTATCAAGTCAAGCATAAAAACATCCACAGGTCACATGTTACTTCATTTACAATAGAGATACAAGCAAATGTAAAGAGACAGTATTATCGAAATCATAGCTGCATAAAATTAACCTGTGTTGCTTTGCTCCTGTAACACTGTGCAACCTCCATCTGCTAGGAGGTTAATAGGCCAATTATCCCTGATTCCCAGCTATTTTGGTTTTAAAAAAAAAGTTCTTCTGAGGGTGGGGTATAGCTTAGTGGTAGAGCACTTGCCTAATGTGCAAAGGCCCTAGGATTAATTTCTACCATTGGGTGGGAGGGGTGTTGAGAGTGATTAATTGTGAGCTCTCATTTTTCACTGTATATTATACATTTGGAGGATTTGCATTAATTGACAAATTAACAGTATTTCTGACTGTTGGTGATTGTGGGAGAGGTGCTGTAATCTGCTTTGTTCAAGGATCTCATTGTATATTAAGATACAGTGTCATGAGGCTATAGTAGCTCATTGTGCACCTTTCATATAAAGGATGGTGCCACTCATGGGCTAGAAATAATAGTAATGTCTTGCTAGGGTCTCTGGAAGTAGGCCTCTCATAGTAGAGTGTAAGGTCTGTCAGAGCAGGGGCTTTGCTCATTTTGTTTGCTGTTCGTATCCTTGGCACTTCGAAATGTCTGGCTGATAGCAGGCACTTGGGGGCCCTCCCTTTCTGTATTTTGTTTTGGTGTCTTAACTGGTTGTAATCCAGTCTTAGTGCCCATCTAAATTAGGGTTTCTATTGCTGTGATTAAAACACCGTGAGCAAAAGCAACTTGGGTAGGACAGTGTTTATTTCACTCACACTTCCAGGTAACAGCCCATCACTGAATGAAGTCAGGAGTGAAACGAAGCAGGGCAGGGACTGATGTGGAGGCTGGCTCCTCATGGCTTGCTTTCTTACAGCACTTCTGACCACCAGCCCAGGGATGGCCCCACCCACAAAGGGCTGGACCTCCCATTAATCAAGAAAGTGTATCACAGGCTTGCCCCAGGCCAGTCTGGTGGGACCATTTTCTCAGTTGATGTTCCCTCTTCCAAAATGACTGTCAAGTTGACATACATGAAACTCGCCAGCACAGTGCCCAAGGGTTGGATGTGTCAGGTGCCTTTGCTTTTCCTGTTTCTGATATCTAAAAGTTTTATTCTTTCTGTTTATTAGAAGATACTCTGTGAATATCTGTTAACTTTACATTTAAGAGCTATCTTCATGTATGTCCAAGTATATTTTTTATGTTTTTAAATTATATCTTAGCAGCCTACTATTCTTTCGGCTTGTATGTAACCCATGCTGGCTTCAGGAGAGAGTGTTCTCATTCTCATAGTGGTCCCATTAGTCTAGTGTATGCAAAGCACTACCATGGTATTATCCTTGGACAGGCTTTGAGGTTAAGTGTAGCTTAGAAGATACTGCATTTAAAATTTCCTGGACTAGACTGATTAGAAAAGGCTTCCAAGTTAGTTGCAATGTCATTACAGTAAAAGTAAAATTTCCTCCATCACAAGTCAGTTTAAGTTCATTGATTAAAGAAGACAGTTGAGTAGTAAGTGGGAAGTTTTTATGTATTTATTTATAATTTTAATCAGCTGACATGGTGAACATTCAGATTTTGAAACTGACTTTGAAGACTATCAAAATATTTTCTTCAAAAGTCGGACTTCAGAGTTGAGTATAATTATGGAGCTAATCATTAGTTTTTACCAGTAATTAGTGAAAGTTGTTAGGTTTGTAGAAACCTCAAAAATATTTCATGGGTAGAAGTAGTATTTTAATTTAATGTTATTTAAGTACTTGGATCTTCACTTGTGTGGACAATGTAAGACATTGTTACAGCAGCACTGTTTTAAAGCCTCTCCCAATTTGGCTCCTATCATAACTGATTGCTCAGCCTCCTTCCTCGTCTCCCTGTGTATGAGGTATGCTGGGACTGGCATAGCAGTCGTGGCAAGGCTTATACATTCAAAGGCATGTTATTTCCTTCAAAACATGCACCCTGGGAAGATGTTATCTTTGTTTTAGATTAATCTTGTGGCTTTCTAGGAATTATTTTAGAGATAGTCAATGGAATTCTATTGAACTAATATTTTTTGCATTAAATTTAATGTGTGGAAGAGTCTGGAATCACTTGGAATATTTATTTGCTGTATTAGACCACTTACACTGTGATACAATGCACAGTTAAGCCCCCTATTATTATTTTAATTCTCATGTGGCCCCCTTGTTACTCATTGAGTAGAGTCCAAACTCAACAAACCCTTTTAGGCTTCCTCTGCCTGCCCAACTTTGGATGATTCTTTGAAAATTTCCTTCCTGCTTTATCTCTATACTTTGAAAAAAATACTTTTATTCTTTACAACCAACTTGAAAGTCTATTCCCCATGCCCTGCTTCCTCCCAGCCATTAACTTGACTCATCCATCAGATCTCAGGAAGCCTTTTCCGGTCCACATAAAGAATTTGATCTATGATACACGCTTCTATAATTTCTTAAAGCTTCACTCTACTTAATTATATCAAAATTTGGTTGGTCACATGTTGGTGACACTTGCCTGCCATATTCTCGGTGACATTTGCCCACCACACTCTTCTCAGTGCAGAACCTAGGTCCTAGCCACATGAGGCTCTTGGGTGGTATTTACGTAGTGGTGAGGAAGCATGCCTTAAGAGCTATGGCTTTTATCCTCTAGTAGAGCGTGGCTGCTAAGCTAACGCACAGAGGGCAGTGCTCGGGTGCTTTTCCGCCTGTTGCTATAGGAATATTAATCTTCTTTTCACATCCATAAAATTATGATTAAGAACACCGGGCGGTGGTGGCCCACACCTTTAATCCCAGCACTCAGGAGGCAGAGGCAGGCGGATCTCTGTGAGTTCGAGGCCGGGCTGGACCGACAGCCTCCAAAACAATACAGAGAAACCCTGTCTTGTAAAAACCAAAAAATAAAAACAAAAGATTAAAAAGAAGACCTTGGCTTAGGAGTGTAGTTTAGAGGATTTGCGTAAAATGTGTAAGGATCTTGATTAAGCCCTAGAATTGCAAAAAAAGTAAAAATGAGTTGTCTCAGGGAAAGATGAAGTAAAAGAATGTATTTTAAAGTACCAACTGGATAACTGATATATTGCACAAGTAAAAACAGTCCAGCTCTGAGGCAGTTATAAGGAAGGCAGAAATGACCAGGGTTGGTATTTTGAGTAATTTATAGTGTAATTTCTCTGATTTTCCTGTAAATCCCTTGAATCTCTGTTTCTGTACACTCAATCTCTTATAAATGTACACAAGCTTCACTGTTGTTTTCACACCATTAAATGAAAACATTACATTTGAATAAAGAATATATTAAGAACATGCATTTGTGTTATATTTTTAAGAAAACAAACAAAAACTAAAAAAAAAAATCCTAAGACTAGTGCCAGGTACAAGTTCAAGGCCAGCCTAGGCTACACAGTGAGATCACCCTGCACCAAGAAAAAAATCCCAAAGCCCATAAGCCCATAGGAGTGAAGATTTTTAGTGAGCTAGTCTTTGTGACGTAGGTAAGTACAGGATGACTAAGTATTCGGGAGCAGTGCTGAAATAGCAGAGCACAGTGTTGGCACCCTGACTGCTCAGAGACTTTGTTTTATGTGTACACTTCTGCTAAGAATCAGTGCTGATGATTAAAACGGAATAGCTGGTCAGTGCACATTTATTTTTGCTTTGTTGTGTTCAAGTCTGTACCAAACATTTTGAGAGCTTTGAATTCTCTGGGTTTGGAGACTGATTCTAACAATACATATGGTCATGTAGTCTCAAGAAATTTTAAATAATGACTAAACCTGAATTAGTTCAAATTCTATAAACAAACAAACAAACATTGTAATGGCTGAAGTTACCCCAATTTGATGTAATTCTGTTTAATGAAAATCAGGCTGGTGTTGTGGTGAATCCTGATAATCCTAGCACTCAGTGTTGAGGTAGGAGGATTGTGAGTTTGAGGCCAGTTTGGGTTATATAGTGAGAACTTGTCTGAGTAAATACAGGGAACTGAGAACAAAGTAGCGGATTGTAAAAATTTGACTATTTCTTTGACTGATTTTAGTTTTTTTTTCCTTCAAAGATTTGTGTATTTACTATTATACAGGGTTCTGCTTGCATGTGTGCCTGCATGCCAGAAGAGGGCACCAGATCTCACTCTAGGTGGTTGTGAGCCACTATGTGGTTGCTGAGAACCCAACTCAGGTCCTCTGGAAGAGGAGCTGGTGCTCTTAACCCCTGAGTCATCTCTCCAGCCCCATAATTTTACTTTCTTATATGATTGTGATTATTCAAGTTATTAATATCTCTAATAATTCTTTGAGTATAAAACCCAACTATGTTGTACTGATTTCTTTAGAAAGATGATTGTGTTATTACTGAGGGGTTCTGGAGATGAACTAACAGCAAGGCTTTGGGCCAAACCTCACTCAGGATCCATCAGCACTTAATCCAAAAGGGAGGGAGAAATCATGCTTGGTGATTGAAAACATTATAATGGTGGGAAAATTCCTCTTATCATTCATGTTTTGAAAGATGATTACTTTTGAGTCTGGGTTTATATTTAATGAATCTAGAAGGTCAGGTAAATATTGAACTTTACATAATATATAGTTTGTCAGCTTGATAAACTCTTAGTTTCAGATACACCACCTCCACCACCACCTGTGGAAGAGCCTGTCTTTGATGAATCCCCGCCTCCACCCCCACCCCCAGAGGATTATGAAGAGGAGGAAGCAGCTGTGGTTGAGTACAGCGATCCTTACGCTGAAGAGGACCCACCATGGGCGCCAAGGTCTTACTTGGAAAAGGGTAAGTGTCAAGAGGTCGTCTGGAGGGATGAGAAGACATCTGTACATAGAAATGAGACTTGCTGGTAAAGCTCTATTTATATGTATTATCTGTTCCATTTAGTTATTTAACCAGTTTACAGGGCTTATGATTTTGAAGTTTATTAGTAAATTTTTATGTCTGTCTGTTACTACTGAACTTGCTTTTCACAAATTATTTGTATAACTCAAAAATCAAAAACACAAGTAGACTTCTTTTGGAATTCCTCAGGAAGAGGATTATTTATCCAAATTATTTCTATCTCTGCTTTCTTCCATCATCATCAGCTTTATTGGAAGCATCCTTCCAGGTTACCCAGGTTGGCTTCTAGCTTTTGTTACTTCTGCCTCATGCTGGGATTATAGGTGTGTATCACTGTGCTGAACTGTCAGATAGTTAATTTTGAGTTGTTTTTACTTGTTTGAATTTGAATATCTCCATAGGCAACTTTCTACCAAAGAATGGTGTCTTTGTCTCTTCTATAGAATGGTGTGTGTGTGTAAAATTGTCTCTGTTATGTGACCACGATATAGCACCTTGGGACAGGAACTTCCAAGTCTGAAGACAAATCAGTCAGTTCAGCTGTACGTGGTGGCTCATACTCACAACTCCAGCACTTGGGAGGGCCAGACTGAGTACATGCTGAGGTCCAGGTCAGCCTGGACTACAGAGTCACACCATGCCTCAAAAGAAAAAAGGAAATTTTCTGTTAAAGAAACCAAAGCAACCACCCACTATGTGTCAGAACGTGTTAGATTGAATCACATTTTAGTTTTTGTGATGAAACACCATGACTAGGCAATTCACAGAAGGGGGCTGGCTTACAGTTTCAGGGGGGTCACTAGTTGGTAATCATCATAGTGGGGAGTGTGGTCGAAGGCACACAGGTACAGGTAGAATACTGGAGCAGCAGGGAAGAGCTTGCACATCCTGATACGCAAGTAGCAGGCAGAGAGGGACACAGAGATAAGGGTGGGCCTGGGCCTGGTGAGCTTTTGAAACCTCAAAGCCTGCTCCCTACTGACACAACTTCTCCAACAGCTCCACAACTCCCATAACTCCTAATCTTTCCTGAACAGTCTACCAACTAGTGACCAAGTGCTCTAACATATGAACCTATGGGGGTCATTGTCATTCAAACCACCATAGATTATCCGTGGGCTTTGATGAAGAAATAGAGTATATAGGACAGGTAAGATGGCTCAGTAGTTATGAGCAGATACTGCTTTTGCAGAGGACTCACGTCCAGCTCCCAGGACCCATGTCTGATGACTCACAGCCGCCTCACTCCAGCTCTAGTGGGCCTGATGCTTCTGGCCTCTGAACTTGAAGCCATACGTACACACTGATGCAGACACACTCATTCACATAACCAGAAGCAAAAGAAATCTTAAATAAATAGTGGACTTAACACTTTTGTCCAAGATTGAGCAACAGTAAATAGATTTATATTTATTCTTCAGACAGGAATGGGGAAGGGGAATAGACAGAACAGTGCCTTTTAAGACACAGAATAGCAGCTGATAGCATAGCTTGGCCCCAAACAGAAGAAAGTCAGTTCTTCCCATTTACGTAGGGTTTTAAATGTCACAGATTGTCCAGGAGGTTGACATTGAACATGAGAAACAATGTTTTTAGAGACAGGCAGACATTGATCTTCTTGGAGATAAAAAGTAGAGTATCTAGAATGATATTACAGAAGAATCAGCAGCCTTTACCCTGACAATAGAAACATCCAAACTGCCACAAAGCAGAAATAAAAAATTCAGAAAGCAAAAACAAGTCAGTAGGTACATAGGGCCAGATCAAGTAGTATTCATTTTACATATGTGTGTATGTGTTTATGTATATACATAAATATCTATGTGTATATGTTCATGTATATGTATACACACACACACACAATGTTTGCAGTCTGTAGAAAAGGTAAAATAAGCTTGAAGCAATCGTACTCTAAATGTTTCCACAGCTGAAGAAGATATGTATCATCTAGTTGTCTATTGCTATCTAACAAATGATTCCAGAATTTAATGTCTTAAACAAAATACTATTCTTTTCTAATTGTCTGTGTGGCTTAGCTGAGCTTTGTAACCCAGGGAGCCTCTCATGGCAGTGGTTCAGGTATGGGCTAAAGCTTACAGTTGTTTTAAGACTTGGCTAGGGGATAAAGTACTCTCAAGATGGTTTATTTGGCCTAAGACAGGATTTAATTTCACCATGGATTATTAACATGAGGGCCTTAGCTTCTGTTTTGTCCAGATTGCCCACAGTTCTCGGCTGCATGGGTCCTTCCATAGTGGCAGCTCACATTTCCCTTCTTAGAATGAACAAGCAGGAGGAGGCAGAGAAAGTGTATTGGCAGGACATAAGTTTTTTGACCTAATCTCAGAAGTGACAGTTGAGTTGTTTTGTGAGAGAGTGTGTGTGTAGCAGACAACCTTGGAGGTTGTTCATTAGGACCAGTTTATCTTATTTTGTGAGACAATGCTTGTCATTGGGGCTTGTTGATGAGGCGAGCTGACTAGCAAAATCCACATCTGCTTGTTCCCATCTCCCCCGTGCTAGCATTATAGATGTGTCACCACACCAGAGTTCTGATGTTGTGCTGCGGGTAAGACTCAGGCCCTCATGCTCGTGTGGCATTTTAGGGACAGCTATCTCCCCAGCCCTCAAGTTGTTTATTAAAGCAAGGCTGGGAGCTAGAGAGATGGGTCCATGGTTAAGAGCACTGGTTGCTCTTCCAAGGACCAGGATTTGATTTCCAGCTCATCGACCTCACGGACTTCTGGCCTCTGTGGATACTTCACTCATATGGTACACAGATGAACATGAAGGCAAAATACCCATACACATAAAATAAAGGTTAAAAGGCTTTGATAAAAACACATCAGTAGATTTGGCCAAATACAGGGAGTGGGTTTTGGCATAAAGACTCAAGTACTGTGAGGCAGACTCATTGGGACCTTATCTGGAAGCTAATCTACCACTGACATTATAAATTCAGAGGATCAAGAAGTAAACTCCAGATAGAAGAATCAAAGAAAATCGTGCTAAGGCACATCATAAATAATTAAAAAACACTACTAAAGTGAATAATATTAAAGATGTTTAGAGAGAAATGACTGTCTACATAAGAAGATAACGAATAACTGCATAGTTTTCTTGCAGGTCAGAGGCAGAACATCTTTAGAGCAATGATGGAAAATGTCAGTCTAAAGTTCTTGTGTGTAGTTTCGTTAGCCTGGTGGGTGCAGAAGAAACATGGCCTCATTAACAAAGGGGCATCATTTTCTTAGAAACAGCATCCACAATATGTTCTGAAATTGCTTTTAATTCAGATTGCATTGTTAAGTTAAATTTATTAGTGATAATGACAGTCAACTTTGGTTACATTAGGGCAGATTGTATATCAGCTCCAAATTATGTTAAACAGGGTTTTACCACCTTATGACAAGCCTCCACTCTCCATGTGAGTCAGACCATCAATGTCCATAACAAGACAACAACAAAAAAGCACATTTGCGATGGGTAATTGGTGTCTCGTTTTCCAGGGGCTGGTGTGGCGCTGTTCTCTGCAGTACCTTTGTTGCCTTAACAATACTTCTCTAGTCCATTCTCACTTCCCTCTGCATGCATGTCTGTTATACTTATTACTGACAGAATATTGATCTGTCTAGAAATGTCTGATCCTTGTGCTGTGTTGGCAACAGATCGGTGAGCAGCATCTCCAGTGTTCAGTGTGTCATGTTGTCTGTGTCAACTTATATGGAAGAGAAGGTAGTTGGACCATCTCTTTGTCCCGCCTTCCCCTTCCCTCCTGAGTTCTCCTTCTTCCTCCCATTGGCTTTCCTTCTTCTGTTCTTTAACACTGTTCATAGTAAATTTAAAAGGAAATGTTTAGTTACGCTCCACTAAAGCATTTCATATAGCACACTCCCCACTGGAGTGCTGATCTTAGAATTTAGAGTGTTTTCATGTTAATACTGAAATACTGAGAGAAAAATACAGGCTACTTTAATTATTTTGCTCATAACTACACAGAAATAGCCAGGTGTTTAACATTTCATGTATGTCTATATTTCTCTGGAATGTTAATTTTAAACAGCAGTATTTCAGGGGACTAAAAATAAAAATTTCAATTGAACACTAATTTTGTCCCCTTAAAAAGGGTCTCCTGTACTGCTACACCCAGAGTCCATAGACTCACATTTGTTGTTACTCTTTCTGAGGTAATTTCTTCTCTTCTCTTTCCCTTTCCTTCCCTTTCTTCCTTCCCTCCCTCCCTCCCTCCCTCCCTTCCTCCCTCTGGACTGAACCTTGGTCCTTTTACCACTGAACTACATCCATGACCTCCAGTTTCTATATTTTAAAGAGTAGATGGATGCTTGAGTGCAGTCACTTTGTCTACTAAATTATTCTGTTGCTACAAAATATATAAAAATAATTATCTTCTGGATTACTTCTCAGTGGGTACATTTTTCTAAGTACCCAGAATGTTGCCTTTTCTTAAAAAAATATTGATTGACAATACTAAACACTTTAATTCTAATTTTCTTGTACCTAAAGTTGTCTTAAAATTACACTGTGTTTTTTTTAGACATTTAGTGATATTTTGAGAAACACAGCCCTGACTCTTCTAAGTTAGGCCTCTAAAATTTTTTTTCTGTTGTCCTCAGTGTATCCCAATAATAGAAGATAATTATGTATGAAGGAAACCAATAGAGTTTTACCAAAGTGGCCAGAAACACAGGGCCAGGTCTTTGCCACTGGGATACATTCCAGCTCTCAAGTTTTAAGACTTGTGTGAGTGCCATGGTGGAGGTCAAAGGGCAGTTTGTGGGAGTTCATTCTCTTCTGATATGTGGGTCCCAGGAACTGAACTTAGGCTGTCAGGTTTGGCGGTAGTACCTTTACCCACCAACCATCTCACTGGCCCAAATGGAGATTTTTGTTGAAAAAAGTTCTTTGTGGTGTGCAGAAGATACAGGGGGTTGGAACAAAGTCTGTCGTAAGTGGATGTGAGTTAAGTTTAAGGCATCCCGTTTTAGCAAAACTCTTGAGGGTAGATGTAATATTAGGAACTAGAGACTGAGATTAACGTTGAGACCCATTGCCAAGTGATTGAAAGCATAAAAACTACATAAGAACTGTAGCACTTCATTATTGTGAATGTATTAAATTGGTAACATAATGCAGTGTATGTTTTGAAAGAAAGTGTATGTATAGTGGACGTAATTTGTAGAAATTTAGTTCCCATTCATATCCAGGCCGAGTCCAGAAAAGGAGACGTGGCCCTACTGTTTCTTTAGCCTGTCTCATTCCTCAGCTGCCTCATAAGTGTATCTTACAACAGTAGTGTAACGTTCTTACACAGTATGGTACCCGAGTGTAAGTCCAAATGAATAGCTGTCTTTCATGAGCCTTAGATTACGTTTCTTTTCTGCAGTTGATTTGCTTATAGGCCATTGAAGGGTAAGTTTAGCTAAAGATGAGTATTTTTTTGCTTGTTTGCCATTTTACTGGATTTAGAACCTTTTTCTAGAAAAGGATATTTGGTTGTATTGAACTGGTTATTAGAAAACATGAATGTAAATTTTAATTTAGAAAGTTGTTGTGAGTGCTTATTTGGTTTTGTCTTCCTAGGAATGGTATTCTCGTTCACATCCTATTTTGTTTTCCCCCCAGTTGTGGCAATTTATGATTATACAAAAGACAAGGAAGATGAGCTGTCCTTTCAGGAAGGAGCCATTATTTATGTCATCAAGAAGAATGACGATGGTTGGTATGAGGGAGTTATGAATGGAGTGACTGGGCTCTTCCCTGGGAATTATGTTGAGTCCATCATGCATTATTCGGAGTAAAGCTCAGCACGGCTTTGCTTCCCTTTCAGGAGGTCAGGTCTTCCCAGATTAGTTAGAGGCCCTGGGAATTTCCTCCCAGTGAAACAAATGAAGCATACAAATTGTGAAGTTACTTCTTTTGTTACTATGTTTGGTTCATCCCCTAGTATTAAAAACAAGAAATCAAAGCTGAGTCTGAACAAATGAATCTTCTCGCTGGCATTTGTACGATGCTGTCTGGATTGAAAATGTGACCATTTCTCAATCTATAGAAGACGTAACATGAACATGTAGGTAAAACAGATCAGACTAAGACTGGCTTGAGAGAAGAGTCTGAGATCTTTCTCAGGAATACTGTACACCCTTGGATTTCTCTTCCTGTAGAATCTGTGACATTGGATGTCTATTGCCTCTGCCTTGGGGCTAGCCTCATGGCCCGGTGGACACCCTCGCTCCCTGCTTTCTTTCACTATATGGAGAGGAAGGGATCAGTGTTTAAATACCATATTTAACTACTTTCCACTTGTTTCAAAGGCTGTTTTTCTTTAACACTGTAAATCCTGTGTTCTCTTAGCACTGGAATGTGCTCAGTGAGTTAATACTGACCTCCCTTGCATCCTGTCCTGTTTGTAGATTATAAAGATGACAAAATGTGAAAGTCTCCAAACATTCCCAGGGGTAACAGTCACCACAGTTTGATTAAATGCACTGTTGCATGAGACTACATTGCTGATAACAGCCGATGAACCCGATGTGAAATGTGGTAGGTACTTGTACTGAGGTGGGTGTGTGCAGCTGGACAGGAAGATTCCTAAGGCTCTGAAGGAAAGAGCTCCAGCCCTTTACCTTAGGTGCTGCTTCAGAGAATAGGACTAGGAAGTCAGACCAGCTATTGCTGGCCTTTTGATATTTAAAAGCATTCCCCCCTCCTTTTTAGAAGAGACTAGTTGTCATGTCTCTTGAGTCACTGGATTGGGAATGACAGGCTGCTGCTGTGCTCTTGGACCGTTATCAATGACAGTGTTAGCTCATGCTGAGTCATTTTTATTCTCTCAGCTGTAGAAAAGTAAATGTTCTGACTTAATGTGATTGGACTCTAAAGTAGACACTCCTAGTAAGAATCTGAACCTTGTGATTCAGATAAAGAGTGTAATGGAAAAGACTAATGGACAAAACACCCAGTCACGTTGAAGAGTTGTATGACTTTGAGATGATTGGCATCTCCCTCATCTACAACTGGTTTCCCTTTAGTGGCGTTAATAATCACTTCTGTAATTAGTATAAGAAATACTTGAAAAAAAAAGAGGAGGTGTTACTGCCCAGCAGGTGGGTAACATGGTGGTGGGCTGGTTTGTGTTTAGGCCCAAAGCTCCTATGTGGATTCTTACCAGTCCGGTAAATGGGCCAGAATGAATTTGGCCAGGTAACCACCTGAAGGGTGAAAAGGAAGAGGAAGCAATAGTTGTCGGTAATTCAGATGCAGGCCTTGAACACGCTGGATGGTGACGATAGAAGTTGGTTGAAAAATGAACAAGTGTTGTAGATGTACAGGCAGAAGCTAACTCCACTTAGAGATCTGTTGTTTGAGCCTGTGGCTTCACTGTATACCCGAGACCCAACCAGTTCCCTTCCCAAGACTTTCTTGCTTTAAAGTTGCAGGGGTTTGTTTGTTTCAGACGTGGTGTTCCTCCTGCTTTAGCTCTCAGTACTAGGATTACAAGCAGGGTCCACTACAGTAGCATCAGGCTTTTTCTTTTTTTTTTAAAGACGTCATTACATGTCAGCTATTACACTTTTAGATTTTTCTGAACACTTTGGATTTATTTTTAACTTGCTTCTAGTATACTTCCCACTTTATGCTTTTGTTAGGATATGTCTGTGAATGTTTTCTGAGCCTTTAGCTCCACGATGGACCCCGCAAGTCTATATATGAACATGTCTAACTTTGCTTGTATTGGTACATGGAAACTTTTGAAAATAGTCGCACTAATTATTTATTTAAGCAGCCTTTTGCTGAACAAGCTTAGTGGATTAGTAAGATGATGTTTGGAACCCAGCAAACAACTAGCTTGTATAGTCAGAGAAACGACTGGTGGTGGGCACGGGAATACAACTTACCTGCTGAATTGGGTTTGCAGAGAACACTAATGATGTCCTTTGTGCTGAATGCTTGCACTGGGGTAACCCATGGGCAGCTGACTCCTCCCATTTATATCACTGAGTACTGATGTGATTTTATAAAGATAAAAAAACACTGTCAGCTTTTTTTCTTTCATCTTTTAAAATTTTGAATTCTATAAATTGTCTTGGAAGGATAATCTGTAACAATGAGCCAGGCCTATAGTAATTGGAGACTTTTAATGTATGTAATATTTTGTAGATTGCATGCTGTTAATACTGTGAGGTTATCTCCTTTTTATTGTAAAATTTCCCATTTATTTGCCCATAAACTAAAAATGGTTGATATTAGGAATTTTAAACGAATGTTGAAACTTTGCTAACCGGTAAGCAACTGCTTTACCAGGACACAGGTGCTCTGAGGGCGCTGATCTTTCCTGAAATGTTTGATTCTGTGGACAGTTCCTTTACCCTTAAAAAAAAAAAAAAAAAAAAAGACTGCCTATTTGTCTTTTTTGCTAATACTATTTGATGATCCATGGATCTGAGCGAAAATACATTCTTGTGTTTGATCTTACAGCCAAGGCATATTAGAAACAAAGATAGTGCCAATGTTTTGAAACCTAGACCCAAGAGATTTCAGCCTGCTGTGTTTGGAATAAATATGAATTTTTGAAGATGTCTCATACAGTATTTTCTTTTTGGCTTCTTCCTTCTGTCTTCCTAAGAGGCACCTGCTGGTCCCATCTTGCGATTGGTACAGGACTGCTGATTTTGCTGTTCCTAAAAGCCACAGGGTGACATTTTCACCCCTTCCTTTCCTTACCTGTACTACTGCTGTGTATTACCCAGCTAGAGACTGGTTTGTGCATCTTTACAATTGATGTCTACAATGTAGCTGGACTCATTAACAATTTGTTGATTAAAGATGATTCTTATATATGGGGCATCAAAATGATAGCTTGCTTTTATTTTAAGATCACCTTCCTGCAGTACACTCTTGTTTTACCTTTATTACCTTTTACCTTCTCTCCTTATGAGAGAACAAGGTGTGGCCTAAAGGTGACCTTTACTTCTGGAAGGGCTTTGGTGAAGAAATGGTAGGTTGACTGCCAAATCTTGGAATGAATGGGAGCTACTTCGGAATAGCTTTTGCCAGGAACTCCTGATGGGTGTGGAGGTGACACTTCCTAACACTGTTTACTTGAAATCATAGTTTTGGAACTAAAAAGCTTTACAGATGTTTGTTCCAGTCTCACTTTAACGGTGGGATTAGATGTTTTCAGATAAACAGCTAGTTAGCTCTTGACTCAGCTCAGTCTTCTCCACTGTACTAATTGTTATAACTAAATATGCTGTACTTTTCTTTAGAAATCAAGAGTGCTTGTTTTCAGGACTATACTTGAAACGATATGCCATGTTTTCATAAATAACCACCCAAGTATTCAGATTGTTTTAAGTGCAACCCGAGTGGAAATAATCTTCATTTACCCTTCTAAAACCTTATTCATAAACACTTTTCCATAAAGCTTTGTGGAGCAAGAATGCATTGTATTTAGTTCTACACTGGCAGGAGCAGAGTGGAACACAACACAGTACACAGCCTTACTTATGAGAGCCTTACAGAGTCACTAAATGGAGGCATTGAGCTTGCTGTCTAAGTTTACTTTATGCTCTTTGTTTTATTGAGAATCTCTATTTAAAAAATCAACAAATGAAATGACAGGGCATAACTCTGTAAATGATCCTTGCTAATAAATGTTAAATTTTTTAAGAGAAAAAAAAAAGCTTATTTTTCACATTAAACTGAAGCCTCTTTTGCAAGTTCTGAATTCTATGGAAAAGCAGTTTTTAATCATATTTTGTGTCCATGTACCTTTTTTTTTTAACAAAATGGTTTACAAAAAGAATGTAAACAATTTATGATCAGGCCAGTTATACTTTATAGCTCCCAGAGAATTGGTGGTACCGAGTAAAAACCATTCAGGCAGCTTGAGCAGGCAAGTGTTGCCAGTAACATTCCTTATGTGCGCCATTGAGCACCTCCAGATGAGTGAGGGACATTCACGTCATTTTAAAATTGTATTTGGAATAATTATTGCTATGTACTAAGAACTTGACCCAAATAAAAATCACGCAAAGTATATCCAGTGTCTTGCAGTTATTTGTGTATGCACTGCTTCTTTGTGAGGTGGTTCAAAGCGTTGATGGTACTATTTAATTACTGATCAAGGCTTTAAAGTGCTGAACCTTTAACAGCTTTATCTTTGGAATATTTTAAAGACAGCTGCTTATTTTAATTATGAACTGCTTTTTCCAGCTATACCTAAATTTTGTTAAGTAAAAATTTTTCCATCATTGGAATGAGGTTTTTACAAAAGTGTTGGTTAAGATCCCAGATGATAACTCATTTGACTCTAAGTTTTCTAGTGACTTGTGTAAGTAAATGGCAATCTCTAGAGTAAGACTACTCCAGTTCTTGCTGCCTTACAAGTCCTCAGTGCCTGTGTACTGACATGTAATGTGGAAAGCTCAACTAACACATTTCAAAGGAATGTTTTCAAGAAAAGGATTTCTCTATGAAAAGGATCGACAGTTGGTAGCACTGACAGATGGTGAGTAACTTTTATTATAGTGTGATGATAAATGGTAAGGTGATTTATAATCTATAACTAAAACATATCCACTTGATATGGCAGTCCCAGTACAAAATTGTACTTCCAAATCATTTCAGGGGGAGATCCTTTTTGGCACTAGTTTTTACCCAGTTGTACTTTATTTAATTAAACAAAGATCAGGGGCTAGAGAGATGACTCAACAGTTAACAGCACTTAGAGAGCCTGAGTTTGGTTTCTAACACCCACATATTGGTTCACAGCATTCTGTAGCTTTAGTTCTAGTTCATATACTCATGAAGACTTGCACACACATGTGATTTGGGTGGTGGTCAGGAGGTTTCAAAAGTTTTCTCTGTGTAGCCCTGACTGTTCTCAGTAGACCAGGCTGGCCTCAAACTCAAGAGAGATCCAACTGCCTCTGCCTCCCAAGTACTGGGATTAAACCTGTGTGCCCACCACCACCCAACTAATAATATATTTTTAATCTACAAAACAAGACCACCAATAAAAGCTATTAGTACTTTTAAAATAGAATTTTCTTACACATTTATTGTGTATGTATACACACAGTGTGTAACTTGTGGGAATTGGTTCTTTCCTGTCCACCTGAGTTCCAGGGATTTGAACTCAGGTTGTCAGGCCTGTTGGCAAACACCTTTACTCGTTGGGCCCTAATCACTTCCTAATCAGTAATATTTAATCATCTCCAGTCTGTTGGTATAAACAAGCAAAACACACTGAACTGTAGATAATTCACCTACAACACTTAATGTATCCTGACACATCAAGCTTTAAAACCAGGTTCTTTGAAGAATTAATTTTATTTATGTGTATGTATACCACATGTGTTCAGGTGCCTTTGGAGGCCAGAAGAGGACATTGGATCCTTTGGAGCTGGAGTTATAGGCGGTTTTGAGTTGCCCGACGTGGGTGCTGGAAACTGAACTCTGGTCCTCTGGAAGAGCAGAAAGCATTCTTAACAACTGAGTCATCTCTCCAGCCCTACAAAACCAGGTTCTTAGTGGTACTCATCCAAAACACTTGAAATCCTTGTGTTTAAATGGAAATCTATTTAATTTTTTAAAATTAAGGATTGGGCTACGTGACATAAAATATGTAACTAGAAAAACATTTACTCTATCTGACCACTGTCCTAGGCCATTACAATGGTTTATGGCAAGTATAACTGGGAAATTAACTTAATCCAGCAGTAGAACAAAAACATAGTCAGTAGTACTGAATGAATATATCTCTTTCTCATATATATATTTGTGTGTATATATAGCTTTGCACAATCAGGGAGCAAGGCACATAATGAAATGAGTGTACATTTATGCAGAAGAAAATAATAAAGGCTGGAAGAAAACCACAACTTCATCTTTACCAAGCTGTGCATAATCCTCCGAATAATGTCCTCTTTGTGGTGCATCTGTTATCTTCATGCTTTACAAAAGTATCTTCTACATTATATCTATTTATGACAAACTTCCCACAGCTACAAGTCAGTGAGCCTTGACTCCATTTCTTTTTTAAAGAAGGAAAGGAGAGGACAACCCCAGTTAAAGATAATGTGCAATTCTCTGAAAAGAGTAAACAGCATTTTTACAACACTTAGCACAAGCTAATCATATTTTACCTTATGCATCTCTGGAAGAAGAGTTCACTAGTGGCTGATATTAAAACTAAGCAAAGTCATTTCAAACATTCCAGTTAACACTTATTTTCTAGGAGAGACTATTTACAAACACAGGGAAAAGTAGATAAAATTATGAAAAACGGCAAGTTTTTGGTATTAGGTTGTGACACATTTAACGAATGGATAGTTTCTAAAAATGTATCTATCCCCTGTATCCCTTAAGTGCTGCAGCCACGTCTTCCTAAGAAGTTGATGCTTTGCCAATCAACCATAGCTTGAAATTCATAGCACATGAACAGCATGTTCCCAGATTTGGCCGGCTCTTAAGTAGGCCTGTGTTGACTTGAGCCACTTCTCTCAACATCTTTGGTAGAAAACACCCAGATTCCACTTAGGTTGATGAGAACTCTTGTAATACAAGGCAGTCATTCCCTACCCCACCCCCAGCTCCATTTCTGCCCAAACTTCAAAAATACTTACCTGTTTTTTATTTCATTAGCACCTCAAAGTTCACTTGGTGTTTTTTGTTGTTTTTAAATGCTATTCCTCTAAAGAGTTCAAGGCACTGGGAATTATAGCAGATAGCTTTCTAAAATGGTTTACTTCACAGTAAACCAGAGCCCTCTGCCCTCCAACACATGTTTATGTATGAAGTATGTTGTTTCATTGAGCAGTTCTTCACTTAAATTTTCGGTTTCTTTTACATATAGACCCCTAAGGGCACTGAACATTTGTAATTTTGATGGCTAGAATGATAAAGTTGTGACATATTTTCACTGAATTTTAAAAGGGTCATCTTAAAAGATGATGGGATTTCCATTTTTTTATTTCTCTTCCATTTCACTTTGGGTCACCTTTGAGAGAGGTCACATATTTGAAAGTTTTTTTTTCTTAAAGAGGCCATCTTCCTGTGTAAACAAAAATAATTATACCTGTTTCATTGAAAGCCATCACAACCATACAGGGCATTGTTTTAATTGTGCTAAACTGGAGTAAAATCTGTGATTACATCAGCTATAAGGCTAGTTCTGACAATACATGGAAATGCTTGGAGTGGGTTTTTAACTTGCTTACATACTGCCTTGTGTTTGTGACATAACCCTGTTTTGTTTGAGTAGCAACGTGCTCTGTTGGAAGTCCCATGAACTGATTGACACTACTGCTCCACTTCTGAAATCTGGGTTTCTGTTGATCCTGACCTTAGAGTTGTTATCCTGTTAGAATTACTATGACCTCTCAATTTTAACGTTGTAGACAAAACTAATACACATTACTTGTAACATCAAAGTGCAATACAGAGAGGAACCCCAAAACAGTTCTCAGCCCTTTCAAGATATGCCATCAGTGGGTAGGAGCACCTTGATTTTGGGGGACTTGAAAAAACAACAACAAAAAAACCATTATTATTTTACTTTAAATTGTCTAATAAAAATAGGTCTTTTTGGTCATCTTTAAGATCCAGTCATCTTTCTCAGTATAGAGTTTTGGGAAAAAATGGTTATATAGTTAAGTGGATTTCTGGGAAAGAGTTTTCCTCCTCTGAGAATTATAGCAACTAAAGAGAAAGCATATTTAAGCATCTGGAGTAAAAACCAAGATGAGGAAACTTAGTACAGAACACTGTTCATGCCAATACCTGTGAACTGCAGTTAGCTGTTTGATTGACAGCAGTTTCACTGCTTCAGAGTTAGCACTAAGGGACTTGAAATTACCTCCACAGTAAAAATTAAGGGTGTCATGATTCTGAAAGCACCCATCTGTCCTGCTCTCGGGAGCAGAAGGCCCTTCACCCTGTTCACTAGTTAGTGTCCAGGCAGCCTCCAGATGACTTCCACTGGCCTGAAAAGGCCATGTAGGCTGGAGCTGCTGAGCTGAGGGCAGCGGAAGAAGGCACAGAACTAGCATTGGCTGGCAGTAGGTCTTGTCATGAACACACCAGAGGAAAGAAAAATTAAACTGCATCTCAGAAAAACCTTCACACACACTAGGCAGTGAAGAAAAAAACCTGGAATGTGTCACCTTTTTTTAAAATAGCTATTTCTGTCTTTGGAGAAATAGCTGTCACATGATGAGTTAGAAATTGACAGTTTACTGCCCCCTCATTTTCCCCAAGGAAAAAAACTAGAAGCAGTGGCTCGGGATGGACTTAAGAATCCCCATGAAGTCTACAGTGGAAAAATGAAGGTGGTTGACTTAGGGCTCAATCTGGACTGGAGTACATATCCTAGATGCACACCAGGGATAACTGGATCCACACTCTGGTCTGTCTGTAGTTTGCATGTAGACCATAAGGAAGTACTTCTGTGTGGCTTGGCTACATTTGTTGTGCATGTTGAAACTAACAATGCAGGTATTAGTTTCATAATTAAAAGAATAGTAAGCACAGAAATACTTGTTGAGCAATTTGAAATATGCAAAAAAATCATTAAGCTGGGTTTTTAAAAAGCACGACGACTCCCACTCTTTCCCCCCTAACTGCATGGTTGTAATGAGTGGTGCAGTTCCTTATTGGAGAGTGTTGTAGTGAAGCTTCACTGCATTCTCCAATGGTTTATCTTCTTTACCTAGACTCACTGGAGTTACTTTCTGCTTGAGGGACAGGACCAAAAGATTTCTGCATTTGGCACTGGTTATCTTTACTATAGGCACAGACTCTCTTTACAAGATGTGTTCATTTGTAATTGGTGGGATTGCCAGTTTTTATTCTCTTACTTGAAAATAGCTGACTGCATTTTATCCCCATCAACCTGTTGCTGTATAAGTTGATAAACACACATTTTTCTCATGTACCAAGGAAAAATTAACAAAAGGACAGAACAGTGTGAAGCACAGTACTGCTGTCAGAGTAGTGCTCCCAAGTTTTGCCCAACTGTAGATGCACATGCCAATGTCACCGTAACTGGACTATGACACTGCTCCACCAGAACACCTGGTCACCTCAAAGTCTCTACACTAGGTTGTAAACAGCAAAGATCTTAGCAGCTCCAGTAGCTATGGATGAAATTATGAAAACTCATTTTGCTCATGATAGTTCCATCCCAAATGGAATCTTTGCATCACAACCTGATGAATGATACCTGTGCAGGGCCCAGTTCTGTCTGTTCTTCCTTATCTGTCATAGAGCACAACTTGTAAAGAAGGCATCGCAGAAGTCGACTTTGTTTTTAATGATGTACTGCATTGGGCACAGGGAGTATATTTCATATTTGGAATATTCACGGATTCAACTGTCTACTAATGTACACACTATATGCAAAGGTAACTGAGACCCAACAACATAACTGGGGCAGTACATTACAGTGTGCACTGGACAGTCTCAAGATGAAGCTTCACAAGACAGTACTGAAAGTAGCCAGGACTATAGCATTAAGTATTTCTCGTGCTGTAGGCAAAAATCTTACCTGTGAAGACATCTCAGATGTGGCTATGGTCATGGCAGGACTACGGCAACTAGAACAGCCACAACTTTCCTATGTACAACCACGGTGTCCTCAGGGTTCCCCTTCCTGCACTGTTTACCCGTTCTGTATAATGAATTTCCTGATTTAAAGTGCCCCTTTATATGTAGTATTTAAGTGCTAGTCAACAGTTCTAAATTCAGCCAACTGGGAAAAAATAAACAAAAAAAAGCCCTACAGATACACAAAACATTCTGATGATACATTTCAAACTGAGAAACTGCCCGTCTATTTCTTTCTTCTATAACACATGCACAAATAGGCGGCATATGGACAGACACTTATGAAATACCTTCTAGATTTTGGTCCAACCCATACGATAAATTGTGATAACATATACCCCTCCTATGTCTCCTTCCACTCAAAATATACAAAACCCTACTTTCTGATTAGGAGGAAAAAGGAATAAATAGAATCAGTTCTCTATATATACACATTCACAGATGTATACATATGTATATACACACAATCTGTATAGCTGTGTGTACATGCATGTACACACGCAGCACATATACACACAAACATACACATAGCTGAACACTACCTGAATAACATATCAGGAGGCTCTGACCACCTGGGTTCACAGATGATCAGGTGAACTGATTGCAGAACTGATTATAGATAGCATGGAAATAAGTCCTGTGGCTACCAGTCTCTTGAGAGCTTGGTATTCTGGTCTCTTTTGGGGGGAGCAGGAGGAGGTCCTCTTCTCAACGTTGCATAGCCTGAAATATGACTACTTCCAAAGCCAGCCTTCTGCTGGTCAGACAGCAGTTCTGGTGGTGGTGGGGGTAGTGCCATGTCGTCCATGGTGGCTGTGGGTTCTGCTCTGGACATTCGTGAGGAGGAGAGGGAGCCATGCCGCGTGATAGACTTGCGCTGCAGTGTCCTGTTAAGGTCAGCTAGGAATCCAGGCTGGACACTAAGGCTGGGTTTGGGAGAGGTGGGCACTTGTGGCACAACTGTGCTCATCGCTGGTTGCTCAGAGATGTCAGCCTGAGTGAGACGGGTGCTGTCGTTTCGTTTGGGCCGGGTAGGAGGAGGGGCCTTCTTCACTGATGTTTTAGACCACAGCTGTGGCTGAGGATTCACAACTGCCACTTTGGGGGAGGTGTTTCCCGAGAATATGGCCGGAATCTCAATAGGGGGCGGAGGAAGCTCGATTTCAGGCGGAGGGGGTGGAAAGTCAGAATCGGATGGAGGAGATGGAAATTCTACTATGGAGTCCTTTCCACACCCACTCACAACAGAGGGTTTTGTCGACACACTCCCTTGCTGGTGGATCCCAGGGAGGTTGACTCCAGAAAGGTGTAGTTTCCCAGGTTTGGGGGGTGCTGCAGGAGGTGGTGGGGTCTCCTTGTTGGGAGACCCTGAATCTGCTGGTGGTGCAAACTTGCTGACTAGACTGTCTACCGAGGGTCGCTTGGGCTCAGGGTGCTCTGCACAACTGCCCGACTTAATGCTGGAGTTGCGCTGCGGGGTTGGGGGGGGGGTTTCTTCCCCCCAGGGCTGGACATCTTACTTGGCTTTTTGCCTGGAGATCCACTTTTGTCAGGGATAGGTGAAGTCATGGTTGGCGCTTGGGCTGGGGCTGGAGGAGGTGGAGGAGGAAACACCAGGCTGCTTTCTGGAGGGGGAGGAGGGAAATCCGGGGAAGGGACCGGGATTGAGCTGGGCTGCCATTTGGGTTTAGCTTTCACTGCAGGAGGGGACTGCGGGGTGATACTTGCTGGGAGGGGCTTTAGGGGATGTGAGTCCACAGGAGGAGGAGTGGGAGGGGGTGGGAACTGACTAGCTATCTGCTTCACAACTGAGGGCACAGGGGACAGAGGAGAGGGGGGGTGGCTTCACCCCAAAGCTCTGCTGCTTGGGTAGCGTCGGTGGGGGACACGGGGCAGGCTGGACAGGAGGAGAGGGTGGAATGTGAGAAATGGGAAAGGTTGGCTGTTTCTTTGCTGGGGGCACTGGAGGTACAGGGGTGGGTGGTACAGCTTGTGTTACCATTGGTGGCACGGTTTTGGTGCTAGCTGAAGGAGGAATGGTCACCAGTGGTTTAGGGGGTGCTTGAGGAGGGACAGTTGAAGGGATGGGAGGAGCTGGTGGGGGTGTGAGAGGGGCCACCTGAGGAACATGCTGAACTTGGTGAATCTTCAGTTGAGGTGGCTGGGGGCTGAACAGTGGCAGGGATGGGGCACATGGCACTGGCTTTAACTGGGCCATGGCTGAGCCAGGGGTTGGGGGTGGTGGTGGAGGAGGGGGTGGAGGAATTACTCCATTGGGGGGCACCACGATTTGCGCCTTGAGGGACTGTGAAGTCAAAGGCAGAGGTTGCACCCCTGGGGTCGATGGAGACTTAAACAGGGGTCCTGAGTGCTGAGCTGCATTTTGCAGCCTGGTGATTGTACTGTACTTGACAAACATGGTGGCTGACGAGCCTGTGGAAGGTGCAGCAGACTGGCTAGGGAGAGGAGGAGGAGGAGGAGGAGGGGGTGGAGGCGGCGGCGGAGGAGGTGGCGGTGGAGGAGGAGGCAGAGGGGGTGACGGTTGTGAGGCAGTATAAGGGGTGACGATCTTAGTTTGAGGGGACAGAGGGGGCATAAGTGAAGTGTAGGACCGATTCATAGGTTCCATTCTGGCCTAAAAGGAGTATAAAAAGGGAAGTGGGAGGGAGAAAAACACAACAAACAGTTACAGAGGTAAGCTTTGACTCTATCACACTACAAAGCAAGGAATCTAGGACATGCATGAAGAGGATGCAGCAGTTGGTGATTACAAAGACGGACAATGTCAGGAAGGTTAAAATCTGATTCCCTAGGTATCAAGGACAAAGAAAATTTGTTTCACTCTGCAATATTCTTTTAACAGCTAGCTACACTGCCTAACAGTACGGGAACAAGTTCCTGTTGCACAGCCATTCGGGTGGTGACAGGATGTGTGATTTCTGACCTTGGCAATGGGACTTTCACAAAGCCTGCCCTAGGTCCTCCTGGGCTCAAAAGTTCACCTCCAGTCCATGACTGCATCCACATCAAGCAGATGCCGCCCTAGGAAGGGATGCTGGTGGAAGGCCTCCCGAGGAGTGAGCACGGCTTTTGATTCTAGTAAGCTGACACGTGAGTATATGAGAATGCTCAGCAGCTGTGCACAGTCACACAGGAATGAATTCGACACACACACTTGTGTGAAACACTTGCATCCAACATGCACAGAAGTCCAGCAATGCAGGTAAGGGGAGCATTCTTTACATTTGCTTTACTGGAAAATACATAAAGAAATGCGTTGTAAACATTACAGCAAAAGATAAAACATCACACAGAAAAAGCCAGATGAAAATAAGAGGAAACTGTAGAGCTAAAGGAGATTGTCAGCAAGCAGGGCTAGGGTTTGCCAGTGAGTTGTCAGCCACGACATCTGGGTTGTACTTGGCACGGTTGAAATGGCTGCTTACTGCCTGATCCAACCATGTGTACATTTGTGGCTCAAGGACTTCTTAAATACAGAAAGGAGGGAATTTTGATTTAATAACTCTGGGATCACCCTGTAGGCTCTTTGCACAACTGTGAAGAAATGAGGTAATCCATCGGTTCTCAATCACAAATGATACCTAGTTGGCATTGAGGGTGTTTAAGTTAGTGAACTAAAGGTTCATTCATAAGCTGAATTCTAATGCCTATCAGGGGTTCACGTTTCTCTAAAAATTATACATCCAAATAAAAGTATTAGTTGTAAGATTTGGTTATAGGAGTCACCCAGGTTAATGTGTTTCAGAGAATAGCCCCTGACCTTAACTTGACCCTGTCTTGGCTGCTTCAGGAGTGCAGACCTTAGCTGTGCTGGCCTTCTCATGTGGCACCTGAGACTGCGGTAACAGAAGAAACACAGAAGGATCAAGACTCAAGCAAACTGACATCATTGCATAGCAGGGTTCATTCTCTCTCTAAAACTACAACGACAGACTTTGTTTCCTAACCACAGATCATTTGGGTCTTTGTTTTCCTTGATTGCACATGTGGTAAGTGGGCTTGACTGTTAATAATTTTTAAGGTAAAGGCCCTTTTTTTTTAGGGGACAGCAGTGGGAAATTTAACCTGGAGTTTTGTGCATGCTAGACAAATGCTCTACCACTGAGCTACATTCCCAGTCAAGGAAAGATATTTTTCTTCAGACATTTAAAGTCACATAGATGTTAGTTTCACCTAAATTGGTTCACAAGGAACTGGGATTGGTGACAGTTCTCCTTGGGAGGCTGAGACAGGAGTTTACACATTGAAGGACAGCTAGGAAAACTAAATGCGACAGACTGTCTCAAAACATAAAAACGATTGGGATGCAGGTCTGTGACAGTGTTTGCCTAACGTGCAAGGTCCTAGGTTCAATCCCCAGAACTCAGAGAAGATTCTAGGGTGGAAGAGTGAATTGTTAAGCTTTCTGATAGGGAGTTTTAACAGTGTTTAAAGAATTTAATCATTAAAACCAATTATTGACTACTCATTTTCATTCCTCTCACCCTCATGCCGGTTAATCAACCACGTATGCAAATTATACAACTAATCTGTTTTAGGGACAGATTTAAATATTCCTTTCGATTCTCATTTGTGACTCAGACCAAAAGAACCAAAAAAAAAAAAAAAAAAAAAAAAAAAGGAAAGACAATGATGACTGTGTAAAAAGCAAAATAAAATAGTGTAGCCAGGGTGTCAGTGGTTCCTCAATGATGGAATACAGCTTTCTGATTTAAGTGGTAAGTACACTCAGCACACACCCTTTCTACAGGAATTCTGAGGCTATTTGATGAAGGACTAGCATGTCTTTTAACTTAACTAAAAATCCTCTAAGGTGGATCTCGAATCTTAGCAGAGAGGTTTCTTTGTGTAGTGGAGAGCGGTTAATGCAGAGACCCACAATAGGGAAGTGCGGAGAACAAGTGACTGGAGTGCTCAGCTACAAAGCAGACAGTTATACACCATACTGCCTCTCCCCAGGACTCGGGGACCAGTGTGGAATAGTGCTCAGGGCCTGACAGAACCACTGTGCTCATGAACTCAACTGTGGCTGCCTGCACAAAAGCATGGCAGTCAGCGTTCTAGCACAGAATGGGAAGGGGTTCATGAGTCCCCATCCCTAACTGGGGAGCACTTGACAACTGAAGGCTTCTGAAAAATTGAAGAGTCAGTTTTCTGTACTGGTGTGGCTCCCGGTACACTGACCCATGCTCTAGTGAATAGCCACTTATGAATATATCAGCAGCACAAACTGGACTAAGTGGATTGTTGGAAGAAAAAAAAGGACATGAAAATGGGAGGTGAGGTAGCTCTGGGAGAAATGGGGGTTATTCAGGAAATACATTGTATTTATGTCTGAAATTTTAATAATATGTAAAAAAGAGAAAAAACTTTCCACATTATGGTCTGTAATAATGTTATTGAATGTTATCCAAGATTCAGGAATCCAAAATTTTAAGAATGATTTGAATTTAGCCTTTTGCGTAAAACATAGTTCCAGAAAATTTATCAAGGCCTATATAGCAGACATACCTCAAGACTGACAGATAAGGAATGAATCTGAATTAATTAAAAATGAAAATGAATTGTAGGCAATTTCTCTGGAACTTTAGGGCAATGGCCCTACACGGTGTTCCTCTAGCAAACTGGTTACAGTTGAAATGTGGGGTGGGGAGGGGTTGTTATACTTAAAGTGTATAAATAACCACCACTAAAAAGATAAGATCTTGAGTCACAAGTCACTACAGACAACTCTAAAATGATTCCCCCATTATAATTAAGACTGAAAATCTAAGAATACCAAAATAGTGCCCAACAAAACCCTGATAAAGGAATAAAAGATGACCACAGATTTTTATTTGTGAATTAAAACTAGCATGTTACCTTGCTAGACTCTTCCAACTGAGTGCCTCGCTTCCAGGCTTCTGAGAAGATGGAGCTCACAGTGCTTTGGGAACGGATGTGTCCTGTGGGCAGGGTGTCAGACACTCCACTGTCAGACTGGTTAGAGTGATTTGACTGAGACTCTGTTTAAAACATTTAAACAGTTTTATTAGTTATCATTTTGATCATAACATATACACATTTTAAATGTTACAGTTAAATACTATGTAGAACGACAAATCAACTCATTTTACTCTAAACTCAGTGAATACAATCTAGTAGAAAAACCTTATCTTATGGTAGTTAGAAAATTTTACTCTTTAATTTCTTTTAATACTTTAGCATGAAAGGCTTACACAAGTCATTAGGACCCTGAAAACCTGTCTTGAATAAAAATCTACTCTGAACAAGTTAAAAAAAAGGGGGATTAATGAGCCATCAATTACATCTACATTATCTTAAGAATCAGTTGCTTTCAGGTCATTCCAGAGCAGCTTATAAATTCAGAGGCTTCTGTGATACCTGGAAAGTAGCAGAGACTCAAAGCTGTTCTCAGACAATCACTTGTGATTAATGGAAGCTATTAAAATAAGTTCAATAACCTAACCCTCAACTTCTTCAAGATTAAGACTATCCACAGGGTAAAAATATAAGGAATATGATGAAAAGCAAGGACACTAGGTTCCTTTATTATCCCTATTTCACAATAGCCTGTAAGACTTGAGCACACGAATCTTTGTGCTCTTCACCATTAATCACTATGATTTTATGTTTTAGCCAGAAAGCCTAAGATTTCAATAAAATGTATGATACTAGTGAAGGAAAAAGGCACATTATTTAGTATATAAGCACTAATGTTAAGTGGTACATGAATTAAAAATGGAATACTCAACCTGCTGGCCTCTGCATCCTACTTGCTGCATGGCTTTCTTACCTTGTCTTCCTAGTCCAACTTCTCAGAGTATTTTTTCCACTTTAATGAACATTTCATTTTAGATGTTTATATTAGAATAGAGTAAGTTCGAATTCTTACTGATTCAGCATCTAGATTGTCCCATTATTCTGTTTAAAATCTATAGTACATTTGCCACAGCTATGAAACGGACACTGATTTGCTAATAACTACATACTACACTTCATATACCCATATTCTGGTCCAGGATGCCACATTATAGTTGGTCATCTTGACTCCTCTGACAGTTGCTCTGTTTTTTGCTGTTGGTTTTGTTTTGAATGATTGTGACACTCTAGAGAACTACTGGTTAAATCTCATCACATTGTATCAAGGGAACCTGCAATCAATGTGACTAAACACTTGTCCACTTTCTCCATTGTCAAGTTACTGCTTTCTCAACCACTTTTTTTTTCTTTTCTTGAGACAGGGTTTCTCTGTGTAGCTAAGTAGACCAAGCTGGCCTTGATCTCAAGAGATCCACCTGCCTCTGCCTCCTGAGTGCTGGGATTAAAGGCAGGTACCACCGCCACCCGACTTAACTCTTGTTTTTAAGTAAATCACTATGTATAGCTCTTTCTCTTTAAGAGGGCAAAGTGTGTGTCGGGTGGTGGCGGCGCACACCTTTAATCCCAGCACTCGGGAGGCAGAGGCAGGTGGATCTCTGTGAGTTCGAGACCAGCCTGGTCTACTGAGCGAGTTCCAGGATAGCCTCCAAAACAATACAGAGAAACCCTGTCTCGGAAAAACAAACAAACAAACAAACAAACAAAAGTGTGTACAGAGATCATTTAGAACTATTTTGTGTGGCTAGAGAGATATCTCAATCAAGAGCATATTCTTGCAGAGGACTTGGACTCTGCCCCAGCACCACATCAGGCAGCTCACAATTGCTGGTAACTCTAGTTCCAGGAACACAATGCCCTCCTCTGCCCTCCGTGGGCGCCTGCATGTATAGTGCTGTGTGGTACTTTGAGCTACCTGGGATGCTAGAAGAACTGGATCCGGACTTAATGCTGGAGCTGGATAAAGAAGTCCAATCATAAGCAGATTCTGTCCTTTTCAAGGCTTCTTGGTAATTTGTGTAGAGCTGCTTCCCATACTAAACAAAAGAGAACAAATGGGGACATTTGATCCTGAGCTGGTATGTGGAAGGATGTGGGAAAGGGAGGAAAACATCTGTGTACTAGTTCAGTTTGTATTAATACCTACAATACTCTAAATAGTTTTTAATCTAGGAAATTACATTTGTACTCATTTTCCTCAATTGTGAGACAGCAGGAAGCTGATTTTATTGGTGTTTATATTAGAAATGAAAGTTTCATCACTCCAAGAGATCTAGGGCTAGATTTTTAGCACTATTCAGGGGTACTGCTCCAAATCTACTTGTTAAATAACAACAAAACCTATTAACTTAGGTTAAACTTGGCTACATAAGAATCATATAATACATGCTCTAAAGTAGAAATAAATCACTTTGATACCATACAAGTTATTATCAGCAATATCATTCCATAAACATTAACATATTTCCCAACCACCACGGAAAAAAAGACGTTTAAAACATGAACTTAGGCCCGAGGAAACCAAACACTGGTGAAATGAGCACAAAATAACCAGAACCACCACCAGCACCAATCCAAAGTGTCTGATTAACCATGCCGTTATTCCAGTTTCAAATGGAAAGGAAATGTACCTTTGCGATTCGGATCCCATTGACCCATTGATGCAGTGTCCTCACATCATCACAGCAAAGATACTTGATATACTGAGACTTCTTCTGGATCTGTGGGTGCTACAGAAGGAAAGGCAGAATCCGGCTAACGGGCTCTTAAACATGTCCTGGTAAGTTACAGTCTTAGAGAAATGGCAAACTGTTGCATTCTTTTTTCTTGTTTGTTTTTTGAGACAGGGTTTCTCTATGTACCTCTGGCTGTCCTGTAACTCACTCTGTAGAACAGGCTGGCTGCAAACTCACAGAGGTCTGCCTGCCTCTGCCTCCCAAGTGCTCGGATTAAAGGCGTGCGCCACCATGCCCAGCTCAGTACATATTTCTTATGCAACCACAAAGTGGAATAAAATAGCCCATACTTATTTTTTTTAAATAAAGTATATATCATGTTAATTTTAGGTTAAGGTGTCTATATAAATCTTCCCACCTGGGAAGTTCTCATATATTCCCTTTTATATATCAAAGAAAAACTTTATCAAGGTTAAGTCAGTAGAATTCTCAGTCTGTAAGACTGAAAATGGAAAAGAAATGTTTACTCAGGAAATCATGGTTTAGAAGCTCCAAAGAAGATCCTTCCTGTGGGTAAACAACTATACCAGACATATATAGAATATATATAGCACAACACTCAGGACAGAAGTCCAGGGTCACACCTGACTGGTGAAACAATACTTTGTAGGCTTCTTTCTCTACCAAATTGCAGTGTGCACATTTTGGGGAGACAAGAGGTCAGTGTTGATGTTTATTCTGTCCCTGAAATATTTACTTTATTAGAAATTAAAATAAGAGAAAAAAATTAAGATATTAGAACACAACTGTACCCAAATCCCTTGTAATAGTTAAGACAGGAAAAATATTATGGAGCATGTGAGAAAACGCCACCATATCCTGAGAGTATATGAATATTGGAGGCATGTAACATCTCATTATTACAAACCTGATATTGATTAACATGGTCTTTGGGTTTTCCAAGGGACCTTGGACTTTATTTTGCAAGCCAGTGGCTCAAGTTACCTTGTATCAACTTATTAAGAAGTACTGGCTACTACAGGACTTGCTGACACACACCTGTAATCCCAGTAATATGAAGGTGGAGGCAGAAGGACCCAAATTTAAAAACTAACCTGGGCTATACAGCAAGACGGTCTAAGACAAGTTAAAAAACAAAAACAAACCAAGCGGCTGCTGTAACTAACCTCAATGATGCATTCATGTTGTCTAAGAAAGTTTATTTAAGAAAGGGCTGCTATTATAATACACTCATTTTACCAAAGAAATCAGAATCCCACCCCAAATCCTAAACAAATGGCACTCCTTAAACTCAACTAAGACTTTACAGAAAAATGTATGACACAAACATGGAGCCACTGAGTATAACGTAATGCTCTTGGTAATTCTTCCTGAATGTTTGTAGGTTGCCTTTATAAATGTTAATTTAGATCACTAAAAATTCTAAAAATTTTGCCCACTCTTCTCACAATTCGTGTGAGAAACTTAAAGCATGACTGAAAGAGAAGAAAACTCCCTGATAACAGCATAGATAACAGACTAGTGTGGCTATAATTTGTGGGGAGGGTGGAGACAGAATTATTCCTTGCCACATGAAAGCAGGGGAATTTTGAACTTGGGAAAAATGCCCTCTAATGGGTCTACTAATAAAGTTGAGGAAAACCACAAAAAAAATACATGTCTTACCATAAAAACTTTTTTCCAGGACAGTCTGGTTCCAGCTCCTGATGCCCCTGAATGCTGGGATTATTGGAGTGATCTCTACGTTCACCATGTTCCCCCTGGTGCTAGGATGGAGCTAAACTAATGGTAACTGCTGAGCTACCCCTAGTCCTCCTATCCTGTTCCAAAGACACAGGATCTACTTGAAGATCCAAATGTCAAGAAACCTGTATCTGATGCTGATTACAATTTCCAGGGCTGTGTTACCTTTAATGCCAGACAACAGTCTGTGGGTGCTTTGTATTTACTCCGATAGTCCTGCCCATAATACACGTTTACATGATCCAGCTGGAGAAAGCACACCAGGTCCCGAGATACCTAAGAAAAACACCCAAAGATGAATTTAATAATGCAAATAAGCAAGTATCATACCAGATAAGAGTTTTTAGTTGAGAATCAAACCTTTATTAAGTAGAAAGTAAGATCATAAAGTTTTTCTTCCTCTACAATGTAACCAAAAAGGCAGTCCACTTTGCTTGTTATATGTAATTCCTAATGAATATTGATTTTAAAATGTTGGTACTTTAAACATGCTGTCCATTGTATAGATAACACATAATAGACAGGTAATAGGTAACAGGAGAATAGCCACACTCTTAGGAAAAAACAAGAATCTATCAAGTAGCAGCTGAATCACTATAATGCAAACCTCAAACACAGTGATTCTCAACTGGGAATCACCTCAGTAGGCAGAAGTAACAACTTACATATGACTAGGATGATGCTGTAAATGGTCAGAATATCTCTGAACCCAAATAAGCACAAATGTCAGCACACAGTGCAGCAAAAGCACATTACTCAAGATTGAAGTCAACGTAATCCTAGAAAGCTATTGTCCCCAAATGAAATACACACGACTTCAGCAAGACACCTCCCCCCACCCCCACGGCCTCCCCAAATAGTAAAAGGATGTTTAGCTGATGTAGTGATGCACACCTGTAACCCCAGCACTTGGGAAGTGGAAGAGGAGGAGTCAAGAGGACCAAGAGTCCAGTGTCATCATAATCTACATAGTGAATCTGAGGTCAGCCTGAGCTACAGGAGTAAGATCCCTCCCTTAACAACAACAAATCCAAATAGGGGAAACACAGTAGAGAATTGAGGATGAACCCAACTAATGAGCAGAGAAGTCAACAGTTTTTAGCTTCCTGTTCTGTACACTAGACGAACACAGAAAATTATGTGTGTCTTACTGTGGAGTAAAAGCAGCTTGCATGCTGTGGAAGTACAGCAGTGCAGAGAAGGGACATACCTTTGCCTTTCCTTTAGGGACATAGTAGATGCCAGATGCTCGCAAGAGAAAGTAACGCTTTTTCCAGGACTTCTTGCCATCGTCTTTCAGCCAAAGAACTCCTTCAATTTCTGGGACAGTTACAGAACTTCCACAAAAGCATTCCTTAAAAAAACCATTTGTTAAGATTTATGATCCTTGTTTCAGAAAATGAATTACCTATTCCTAAGAGATGTATAACACTAAGTAAAGCAAAACAGTTTTGTATTAAAACCACACTAGCTTTCTGAATGAACTGTCTATTCTAAGCACCGCAGGAACTTACTTTGGAATTACTGTGGCAATTTTAAAGTGTTGGATAATAAAAATATGTCATGGGGTCGGGGAAATGGCTCAGAAGGTAAGAGTGTCTGTTGTGCAAGCATGAAGACCTCACGGTTTGAATACCACCCCACCTATATAAAAAGCTGGGTATGGCTGCGTGTCCTTGCTGGGTAGTCAATCTAGCTGAAGAGGTGAGCTTCCAGTTCAGATAGGGTAAGGGAGAGTGAGAGACGATGACAGCTGGCTCTCCTCTAGCCTATGTCTGCAGAAGGATGTGCAATCCTGAATGCTCATGCACATACACAATACACACACCGTCTGTCTGCCTCCTGAGTATGTGCCACCACTGCCCTGTGGGACATATTCTTTATTATAACCGTGAGACAGGCAGGTGACTCTCTGTGAGTTTGAGGACAGCCTGATCAACAGAGTGAGTTCCAGGATAGTCAGGGCTGCATAAAGAAACCCTGTCTCAAAAAACAAAACCAAACAAACAAAAAATAGTATTTCCCTATAAACTCAACTGAGTTGCAGGTAACACTACTGAGTCCCACTGCTTTTTCGTTGTGTTTGTGATGTGTGGTGATTATGTACACACATGTGTGGAGGCTAATGGAAGATGGCAGCTGTCTTTCTCAGTTGCCTTCCACCTTAGTTTTTGAGACATGGTCTCTCACTGTGCCTAGAGCTTAGAGGCTATGGCGGCTGGTGAGTGCATACCAGGAATCGGCTGTGTGATTACAAATGCACACTCCCCATGCCCGGCTTTTACATAGGTGGTTGGGGCTATGAACTCAGATCCTCATGCTTGTTCAGGAAGTACTGCTGGCAGGGCCATCTGAACCTCTGAAAAAGCCGAGAAAACCAGCACAGTCATGTTTTCTGCCTCCTATCTGAAAACCCTTCAAAGGCCATTACTCCATTTAATCTACTAGAATATTGCTTGGCAAAAAGAATACTTTGTAAGGGACTCAACAGGTACACACAGAACACTGACAGAACTGACTTTCAAAGATGTTTAACATTTCCATTTTAAAATGTTTGGGGAAGGGAGAGTGAGTCATACCTCTAATAGCACTTCTTTGTTTCTGTCTGCCATCTCAATGGTTTCCTTTTTCCCAAGAAGATAATTCTAAAACAAAACAAAACAATGAAGCGAAAATTAAAGGATAAAACTCTGCTATTCCCTTGGGAGTAAACACATACATTACTGGCTCTAGAAGTAGCCACCTAGCTTTGTCAGTACGTAGGGAGAAGTACTTCAACAAGTTCCCACCATATAAGCCTTGTCATTAAAATGTTCAACTTGCATCTTGCCCAAAACACATGCTATGAAGTATTCCATAGACTGCCCTCCTTCACACCCTGAGGTGACAATATATGCAACAGGAAGTATTGTGGGATATTTAATTAGTTATATAAAAATACCCCAAAGCATTATAAATTAAGTAGAAGATATCGGGAAAGATTTTCTGAGATGTGCTAAGCCAGCATAGTTCTATTCTGGACCTAGCATGCTGTGCCAGATAATTAATATTCTGTTTTTTTTTTTATGAGGAAACTTCAAATTTTGCTATGGATGTAACAGTCTCATTTGCTTGGTTTAATTAAGATCTGAACTGTAATCATTAGTATAACTATTCTTCCAGTCTTCTACAAAAAAATCTACTGACACTCCTTAACATATATTCATTAAACAACCATAATTAAGTCTGAGGGACAAAAAGCGCCTTTAACACTACTGCTGTCCTTCTCATCATTGCTCTTACTGCAGAGTTCTTGCTTTTCTTGCCCTACTGAGGAGGAAGTGGGCAAACAGGAGAGGGCACAACAAACAATACAGTATGCCTGTGATGCCGCAAGGAAGCACGCTACTTTGCACAGTTTTTAAAAGGCACGGGTGTTGTGAATTCTAGCTCAAATATTACATTGTCTTAAATAAAAGATGACAAATGAAGTTATCATGTAATTCAGCAAAGAAATTAAAATATCTAGTTAGATAACCACCCTGGCCTGTTTTGGTGAAATGAGAACCTCAAATGTTAAGGTTTAGCAAGTTCTGGATTTACAGAGAAGAAACCTAGTAACCCCCGGAACTATTTTATTTCTGTCTAAGTTTACCCTATGTGGGACCTAACATCTGGCCTCAAGTTACTTTCCACCCCAGCAGTAATGACTGTTCATGTAGCATTTGCAGCTACAATGCCCAGTCACATGGCTGCCATCCTTTTAACTCTACTGACTTAGCACTTACAAGTTAGTCAGTCTTACCTGTGGGTTTTTAAAAAGTGCATATTTTTCTATACGCTCCATAAATATAAGCTTGTTTTGACTATCTCTTGTCCAATTAAGAAGATTTTCAACCAAGTTTTCATGGTCTTCAAAGATTCTCTCTGTTCCAAAATTAAACACCAGCTTTTTGTTAGTATTCATCAGAATTACATGAAAGGCAAGATAAATCATATCAGAATTATAGAATCTTTGTAAGTGTAGAGGCCAAAGGTTGATGATGGATATTGTCCTCAATTGCTCTCCACTTTACATTTTGAAAGTCTCTCACTGACTTGCTAGCAAGCTCTGCTGTCCTCCTTTCTCTATCTCCCCAGGGCTGGAATAACAGATACATGTTTCTGTAACTGGGGTTTTTTTCTCTTTAACGTGGGTTCACACACACACACACACACACACACACACACACCTTGAACATGTTAAAAGTGTTCTTTCAGATTTGTAAATGTGCTTTGTTTTCCCTTAAAGATTGCTGTACAAAACACCCATAAATGTAACAGTATTGGGGCTGGGGATGGCTCAGCACTAAGAACTCTTGCCCTTCTTGCAGAGGATCCAGTCAGGTCCTAACACCAACATCAGGCAGCTCATAATCTTCTGTAGCTCCAGTGCTCTTTAAAAGGACCTGACACCCTCTTCTGGCTTCTCCATGCACATGATACATGTACATACACCCCGACATATAAAATAAGTAAATGAAAAAGTAAAAATCTTCAGTAACAGCTTTCAGTAAATGTATTTACAAAGCTTTTATTTCCAAGAAAAAGCATTTTGTTATCATTAAAAAAAACACCTCATTTAATCATTTTAAAATACAAAGTGAACTGGAATTCACCTTTCATTTAAAGAACTCTCTAGATACAGTACGAAAAACATTAAAAAACAAATTTTAAAAAGATAAAGTGCCTGATAATTTTATAGAAAAAAGCATAAATGTCTCAAATGCTTCTATCAATATGAAGATTTAGGATTACATAGATGCTAAAAAGCAATTAAAGCAGCGTATCACTAACCCATTTGTAACTCAGAAATGGTCTCCACCAGCGACCAGTCTAAACTGTAGCCACAGTGGGATTTGTCCATCAGGTTATCCAGCACTTGTCTCACTGTCTGTCTCTCGTCCACCATCATTGTTTTAGAACTGTCATCAGACATGTGGACCCTGATCACCAGCTGCAACAGGTAAAAACACAATTAAATGTTAGCTTAAAAAATGGTATTCTAGAGTATTTTTCCAGTATTAAATAGAATTCTGACTTAAGTCTTTAAACTTAAGACATGTTATGACTATGCTGACCATATTATTAAAGGTAAAACCTGAATATCAAGAAACCCTCTAACATAAATTTTAAGCCTTTAAAAATAGAAATTATTGCGCTAAGATGATTTTGTCGTAGTGATTTTTGTTTGTTTTGAAAGAAGTGAGAAGCCTTTATTTAGTATCTGAGTGAGAACACGGATGAGATGTGCCACAAGCAGTGAGCCTGAGTTAGGCACCTATGCACATGCCCAGAAACAAAGGCTGGCTGTCATAAAACATCCTCACGTGAATAGATAACAAGAAGAACACATTCTCATCTTTCAGTAACCAGAGGGACATCATATATAAACAAGATTCTTCATAAAACAAAACAGGAAAAAATGGGAACTATTTCAGACCCAACAAAGAGCCACACATCACCTTTTTCACTTGGGCCTCTTTAATTTTCTCCAGAGCGACTCTGATCTTCTCAGCTTTCAGCTTTGCTGCTTGTTCTTCCTGCAAACAGAGCATTTCAGATGAACTACTGCGGAGAGGGTGAAGACTGGAGAAGGCTCATCCTTAGAGGGGCCAGTACTAAATTTCATTCAGAACACAATGTTACACACTTCATTTTAAAACGAAGTAGACATACTGTAACAAGAGAGCGCAGGTGCAAGAGTAAGATTAGGGTCCATATTCTGAAGAACAAGAAAGAAATCTGTGATGCAGTAAATTAGGTTCAATTCTGTCAACACAATGCGAATGACTTTCAAGTACTGGGTTCGTGGAAATACAATGCATAGCCCCCCTGCCTTCCTATTGCTACACTCACACCCCTCTGAATTCAGACCCCTCCAAAGTTTATACAAGACTTTTGCAGTTTTGTTAACTGAAACTTTAAGATTATTGCAAAAATACATAGAGCAAAAACCAATCTACTTATTTGCAATAGTATAAAACCCTTAACAAGTAAGAAGCATAGGTACTAATATTAATTCTCATTAATATGCTAATACAAATGAGAGACTACCTTTTATTGTAAGTTTTACCAATTTGGAAAATCATGCAACACAATCATGTCAGTAAATATTAATTTATTAATCCATCAATAAATCTTTTTAAATGCTAAATATAACTTTACAAATAACCCAGTTGTAAGTAATTCTACTTCAGAAAACCAATTATAAAATTATAGTAAAAATGATAAAGAACTAAAAATAAAGCATTGTTCATTTTTCTAATAACATACAGCATTCTGCACTGGTTAGTACTTACTGGTAACTTCCAGTAGCAGGCCATAATAAACACTGCAGTTGTAATTACCAATTATCTTTAAAAACAATTTTTATCATCCAAACCTTATCCTCTCTGGATTGTGCCCAAAGCCCACAATCCATGTATTGGTTTTCATAAAAAGCTAACACTTCAGGGTAGTGGGGAAAAAGCTAAACCCATTTACTGATTTTTTTTCCCTATTCACCAAAGTTCTAATGGCTTTCTTCTCTTTCCATTTCCTACGGGGGTGTGTCTTCTCACAAGCTTAAGTTATTTTCAGTGGCCTAGAGACCAGGACAGGGAAAGGCAGTGAGCTTACATCCAGAAATTGGATCCCTTTCAGTGAATGGAACCACTGAGTTAACAGAATGGCTGAGGCTATCTGTAAATGCTATCTGTAAACCCAATAGTCAAAGAACAAAGAACTTCATTTTAATAATGAAGAGGACTAATACTCAGTGTTTGTACCATTATGGATACATTCCCCTGACTAAAAGATTAAATACCCAGTCCTCTCCTTTATGCAAATAATAGCATCATAAAATATGCAGATTACATTTTAATGTGAGATGGTTTTCTTTTGAAAAACAGGTTGTAAGATATTTAAGCTAGTGTTATTAAAACTGTTTCTAGAATGGAGTCTTCTAGGACTGAGAAACAAAATCGCTATTAAATAAATCACCAAATATGCAATATTTATGAATACAGCAAGACTCTATAATGAATTAGAAATACTTTAAACAATCATGTAACTGATTTCATTAAAAAATCATTAGGAAGCATTCACCACTGCCTCACTGTTTTATTGGCATGATGACTGCTGTAGATACTTCTAAAATTAAAATATGTAAAAATGAATTCGCCATTATTTTATGTGTACAGGTGTCTGGCTTCCATATATATATGTGTGTGTGTGTGGTATGTGTAGTGTAGTCCATGTGTATAGTGTTTGTAGAGGTCAGAAGAGAACCTGGATTCCCTGGAACAGGAATTATAGATGGTTGTGGGCCACCATGTGGACTGGGAGTACAAGAACTAGGTCCTCTAGAAGAGCAGCAACTCTTTACCACTGAGCCATCTCTCCAGAAGATACACATATGAAAAGATGGTCAATAGCCCTTGTCATTTGGCAAGTGAGAGTTAATAAAAAACCAAAAAAACCCAGAAAACTGCACATTTATTGCCATGCCCCAAATCCAAAACACCAACACCAAATGTCGGTAAAGGTTTGGAACATAAGAACAGTTGCTCACTAGTGAGAACATACAATAGTTCAGCCACTTTGGAAGAAAATTTGGCTGATTCTCACAAAAGTGAATGCACCATTGCCACATGATCATACTTCTAGGAATTCATTCCCATCAGCTGTCTACAGAAAATCTACACACGGTGTTTATATATGCTCTATTTATAATTACTTGTACTTGGAAGCAACAAAGATGTCCTATAAAAAGTGAATAGATAAATTATGATGCATCTTGGCAATTAAATATTATTCAGCACTAAAAAGAAATGAGCTATCAAGCAACAAGAGGACACAGGGGGGGTTGTAAACACATATTAATAAATAAAAGAATTCAATCTGTAAAAGTTACATACTATATAGTTACCCTAACTATACTGTGCTCTGGAAAGAGGAGTAAAAAGTTCAGTGGTTGCCAGGGGTTAAGAAGGAAATGGAGTTATGAGGTAGTACAGAGGTCTTTCAGGGCAGTGAAACTAAGACTTGTCATATTACAATGGATGATATATGTCAGCATGTCAGAACCCCCAATTGCTCTAAGCATGTCTAAAAGGGAATAAACAAAATTAAATACTGTGCTTTGACTAGTTACACACACAATTAATAGTATTTGCATGCTTCCGTTTTATTTAGTAAACCACTGTATGTCAAATTCCATGACAGGTTTAGCTTAAACTCATAGATTAGTTTCTGCTCCACACATTAGAAGTCCTGAACAATGAGAGAACTAGGTAACCAGTTCCATATAGTTAACCAATTACACTTATCATCATCAATCAGGAGGCATTTTTTAACATACAAAACAGCTAGGTAAAGCTTTCCTAACAAATTCCAATTTCTTTTAGCTATAGAAATTGATCAATATAATTTCCTTTTAAAAATTGTTTTCAGGGCCTTGCATATAAAAAGCAAGTAACTACCAGTGGGCTACAACTCTGGTCCTTATAAATTGGTCTAAGAAAATAATATCAAATCTAAGAATTAGCTGTTTAATTTCAAAATAGGTGAATTTTAGTTTATTCTTCTCCAGTTTATTATAAGGAAAATATTTCTAGAAATTTTTGGTTACAGTGGGATCTGAGTAGTTATACTGGAACAAACTGTAAATAAAAGCAATCAGCTAGCACGACCTCCTTTCCTGTGGCTCTCACGCTCTTCCTCTGTGAGTTCTCTTTGTATTTTCTAGTTAAACCATACTGTATTTTTTAATCATAGCAATATTGGAAAAAAGGAAACCATCTTATACTGTTTGTGTTGTACAATAAGGAAACAGATCACTAAATCTGTGTTGATGTGTTTGGATAATACATGGAAGAATTCCAGTAGCTTATTTAGAAAGACAATGCTAGCCTGTGTTCACTAATGCAAAGGACAAAGCTGCCTCTGTTGTATTTTTTGCTGACCAGCTCAGATCTTCAGTCTTCTGCCCTATATTTTTTGACCAGTCCCTTCTTCATGTTATCTCACAAGTCTTCTAAACATAGTAAGAGATACCTCACACATAGAAAAACAACTTTCTGTCCTACTTCTTTGCTTAAAAGAGCAAGAGACAACCCATTTTCTACTGAAAAACTCCTGTGTGGCTATCAATAGTCATCAAATGCCAAGTCTCCTCAGATTTGCACATAGCACAAAAACTGGGTAAAGATCTTATGATTAAATGAAAACCAACGCTGGCCCACAAAGGGTAACATTCTCTAGGGTGTAGATATCAGAATGTCAGTAGTTAAGTTAGAGAGTTACAGTTGCTGGGGGGTGTAAATATCAGAATGTCAGTAGTTAGAGAGTTACAGTTGCTGGGGGGTGTAAATATCAGAATGTCAGTAGTTAGAGAGTTACAGTTGCTGGGGGGTGTAAATATCAGAATGTCAGTAGTTAGAGAGTTACAGTTGCTGGGGGGTGTAGACATCAGAATGTCAGTAGTTAGAGAGTTACAGTTGCTGGGGGGTGTAGACATCAGAATGTCAGTAGTTAGAGAGTTACAGTTGCTGGGGGGTGTAGACATCAGAATGTCAGTAGTTAGAGAGTTACAGTTGCTGGGGGGTGTAAATATCAGAATGTCAGTAGTTAGAGAGTTACAGTTGCTGAGAGGGAGGGATAGTGAATGACTTCAAATGAAAAACTAAGACTTTATATATAGATTTAGAACAAACATAATGAAATTAAGGTGCTAAATAGTGGTTTGCAATTTCTCTGGGAGACTGTAACAATTAAAAAGTAACAAATTAACTCAGGAGAACTTAAAGTGATAATTTAACATTCATTGGAGGCTCTCCTGCATAATGCTGCCTAGAATCAAAGTAATTACAGTTAACTATTTCTCTGAAAAAATCATGAAATTATAATAAACTCTCATCAAGAGAACTAACATTTATCTAAAACTTGCTAAACCACAAGTTATGTTGTATATGATATCTAATTTAAATTAAAAAATACAAGGCTTGTATGATTATTATAGCCACTGTACGAAAACTCATAAAGATTACTGTCTTAAGATCATACACATATTTATTAACTACTTAACTACATATTCATTATATCATAACCTCAGTTTCTATTATCCTCAATAGTTTATAGCCTTAGTTTATGGGGTATCAATAAAGAAAACTGCATCTTAAAGACATAATGTAAAAGATTTTTTTGCATCTTTTCTGAAGCAGAAACAACAGTTGCTACTAGCATAGTTCTTAAACTTTGGCAGACATCTGGAGGTTGGAAACTGGGGTTCCAAGCTTTATGGTAGAAAGCCAGACTACTCCATAGGTTGGTATGTTAGCAGTACTTGGGGCTGAATGGCAGAGGACATGTTGGGTATATGAAAGGTTCAGGATTCAATATCCAGTACCAAAGAACCATCCATCCTAAGCCCATTCTTAAGTGTTTAGATTCTATACTACTGAATTACATTCCTGCTCAAATTTCTTACTGCACAAGCAGGGTGTTATATTTGCTTATTTATGCAGTGGTACATCTGGTTAACAGCCCAGATGTTGACCAG